ATCAAAATAATAGAGATCAAATCTAAAAAATTAAAAAATTAAAAATTAAAAAATTAAAATAATAATAATTAATATTTCATAAATTATTTCAAATAAAATAAGTAACAATAAAAAAATAAGGATCAAGTTTGATAAATACAAAAATTTAATAAAAAATGATAAGAAAAAAAAATAACAATTATAAAAACGAGGATCAAAGTTAATATAGAAATTAAATTTTAAGAGATAAAATTAAAAAATAAATATTCAAAATAAAATATATATATACCAATCAAAAGTTTGAGGACCAAATTTAATATAATTAGCAAATAATATGATATTTTTAAATTTTTTATAATTTTTAGAAAGTGTTTTCTGTCTAAATTTTTCGGAAAAACACTTTTCTATAAACCAAGTTAAATTTTCCTTTAACTGGATGATATTTTTTACTGACCAACTTTTCTAATAATAAACAAACATATTAAATTTTAAAAAGTAATTTTTTAAAAAATAAATTCAAAAAAATAAAAATAACCTTACTCGTTGAATAAAGTTAGGCTTATCTTCCAAGCTGTCACTCTTTCTCGTCAAATTGTTGTTAATACTATTTTTCAAATAAATTTTATAATTAAAAAAATTATATAATATTGTTTTAATTAAAATAATTAAATATAATTTAATAATTCATATCTTTTTTTGAGTTTGATTAATTATTAAATTTATTAAAAAATAATTAGATATAAAAAATAAAATGTTTTAAAAGTATTATTGAAAAAAAATAATTTTTATTAATCTGAACACCGAATAAATAAATAATATTACGGTGGAATGGTCTAGAGTGGAGACTAGTCTGTCCCATTCATTCACATGTCAAACAGAATCTCTATGCTCTGGTCAAACTTATTTTTTATTTCTGGGCATTTCTTCTTCTTATTCTGACAAATTAAATCACTCCCATCAGCCCCTTTTCTTTTCATTTAGGGTTTCTCTCTCTCTAGAAACTTCCCCCTCTCTCTAGAAGGATTGTCCTTTACCATCTCATTTCTCGAACCCAAAGCCCGGTCCTCGCGTCCTGCACAGCTCATTTGTCAATTTCTGAGCTCCACCCTGCTTTAATTTCACCGCCGTTTGTGCTCGGTTTTTACCTGTAGTCGGTGATTCAAGAAAATCGATTGCTTCCATGTGGGAATGTACGGGTTTTACTTCATTTTAAGCTCAATACACGCATGCGTTTCACCCATCGCTCAAAGGAGCTTAGATCTGCTTTCTGTTTCAAAAACTGCTTCAAATTATCTTAAATCTGACCGTGATACTGTTTTTTTATTTTTTCCAACTCTGAAGCATTTTGTGGGTTGATTGATAATATAGTTGAATCATGTATGGTTAATATCAGCTAAGTGTGTTTTTTTAATTATTTAATTAATTTAAAAGAAATTGTATTAAATTACCCTAAAAAATGAGAAATTGGTTTTATGCCTTATAGATGAGTAAAACAATTTATCTTTTGTCGATTGGAGCTGTTTTTGAGTTGGTTTGTTGCTTAATTTATGGGATGTGTAATGCGTGTGGATTTTAAAGGGCAGAGTAGAGCATGTTTTGACGTAATAGAGCTAATTTATGGTTTCTGAAATAGTTGCTTCTGCTTTTGGTGAAGAGCAGTGACGTGCTGAGTAATGGCGCTTAGAGTTCCAGCTCCCGAGGCAGCTGAGATTGCAATTGGGGCAATAGGGCGTGGATATGATGTGGCAATTGATCTAAGATTGAGGTATTGTAAAGGGGATCTAAAGGGTCCATGCTTGATCGAGATTGATGAAGATGGGGGTCGAGAAATCATTTTGCCAGGTGGGATTTCAATTCCGAATGTGTCCAAATCGATAAAGTGCGACAAGGGGGAGCGAACCCGGTTTAGGTCTGATGTTCTGTCATTCCAGCAGGTTGTTGCTAAATTGTTTACTTTGATCGCCTCATATTTTGATTGTTTCATGAAAAAACAGATTTGGAGTTGTTTGCTTTTGCTATTAATTAGTTGGTCAAAACTCATTTCTGCATTTTCATCTCCTATAATGTAATTTTTTCTTGATTGCTCGCTTGCTTCTTAATGCACTCCACTCTTTC